TTTCCTCTGGAGAGCCCCCAACTAATAAAAGCCCCAGCCCAGACTTGCTGCAGGAGACAGAGGAGCAGCAGAGGGATTCTGGTCTCAGGCTGGTTTCTCCTTAGAGAGCCAGTCAGGTCTGAGAGCCAGCCGCCACTCTCTGCCTTCCACCCTCTGCTGCAGACCTTTATGATGATTCTAGGACGGGTGGACAGACGTGATTAGCAACAGTGTGTCCACCTCAACTTATAGGGTGGCCCCTGACAGTGGGGAATCAGGGCAGGGAAGCCGGGGACCCAATGACACTAGCAACTTAAAAGCAAGCTCTTTCTTTCTAAATTATTTTATTTGTTCAGGGCTCAAAGACATCAGAAATAAGCGACCCCGCCCCAATAACCGTGAAAGCAATAAAGCAGAACTTCCTCCCCATACCCCAGTCCTAAGGCTCAGCGGAGGAAGACGCAATCTGGACTCCACCTAGTGGTTTCCACATCCTCAGGGCTGTCAGACCTCTCCAGAGCCACTATGACCCACAGTGACCTCAAACAGCTGGGACCTAGGAAAAGGGAAGGGTTCAAAGGTTAACTGTCACCCAGCCCACCCACCTCAGGTCACGCCTCCTCCCTGAGCTGGGGCACTCTGGGTCCAAGTCTATTCCCTATGCACAGCCTCTCCACCCCATCCCAACCCCACTCCCTGTGAGTCTGGGGTCCTAATAAGCTCCCCTGGACTGGGTCCCTCACCTGCCAACTACTGAGTCCTCAAAAGAGCAGGAACCGTGCCACCACGAGCACCAGTAGGTTGGAGACCACCGTGGAGCCACCAGAGTTCACCTGCACTGTGCTACAAGTCTCCTTTTGGGTCCTGGGTGGAGAGGGAATGACTTAGGCAGAGGTCATCCGAGTCCGGCTCAGCTGTCTCCTTTTTATATGTTCCTGGGCTAAGATGAAACTCTCTGAGGATTATAGGCAGGAAGTCTACCAGGTCCCTAGCCCTATTATAGGTCTTTGAAGTTCATGTTTTCTTTTCTTTGATTTTTATTCTTTTTAAATTTTATGCCGGGCAGTGGTGGCGCAGGCCTTTAATCCCAGCACTTGGGAGGCAGAGGCAGGCAGATTTCTGAGTTCGAGGCCAGCCTGGTCTACAGAGTGAGTTCCAGGACAGCCAGGGTTGTACAGAGAAACCCTGTCTCGAAAAACCAAAATAAATAAATAAATAAAATAAATTTTATGTTACTTTGTGTGTGTGCATGTGTGAGTACTCACAGTACTCACACAGAGGCATGCGGATGGAGTCAGAGGCCTGTGTGTGTTTCTGAGGATCAAACTCCAGCGTTCCCTTTGTTCTCTAAGTGCTCTGTCTGCTGAGTCACCTCAACTGCCTGCTCATGGTTTTTTTTTTTTCCCACAAGTTTATTTTTTTATATTTTATTTTATTTTTTTGGTTTTTTGAGACAGAGTTTCTCTGTGTAGCCCTGGCTGTCCTGGAACTCACTCTGTAGACCAGGCTAGCCTGCTGGTGTTTGTTTTCTTTCTTTTTTTTTTTTAAGATTTATTTATTTATTTATTTATTTATTTATTTATTTTATGTATGAGTACACCATTTCTCTCTTCAGACACATCAGTAGAGGGCGTCAGATCCCATTACAGATGGTTGTGAGCCACCATGTAGTTGGTGGGAATTGAACTCATGACCTCTGGAAGAGCAGTGTTCTTAACTGCTGAGCCATCTCTCTAGCCCTCATGTTTGTGTTCTTTCTGTTGCTGTTGTTTTCCAAACTTGATTTCTCTGTCTGTCTCTGATAGCTCTGCCTGTCCTGGAACTTGCTCTGTAGACCATGCTGGCCTAGAACTCACAGAGATTTGCCTGTCTCTGCCTCCCAAGTGCGGGGATTAAAGGTGTGCACCACCACTGCCTGGCTTCCTCTGAGACTCTTTTTTTTTTTTTTTTTTTTTTTTGGTTTTTTGAGACAGGGTTTCTCTGTATAGTCCTGGCTGTCCTGGAACTCACTCTGTAGGCTGGTCTCGAACTCAGAAATCCGCCTGCCTCTGCCTCCCAAGTGCTGGGATTAAAGGCGTGCGCCACCACCACCTGGCTTCCTCTGAGACTCTTTACTCAGACACATTATGTGCTTTCTTTGTGCATTGTGTAGGTGTGTTGTGTGTACAAGCTGGTGTGTACAAGTGTTTGTTCACATATGTATACATGTTGGTATGTTCACATGTGTGTGTACACGCTGGTGTGTTTTGTTCACTTGTGTAGGTGCATGTGTAGGCCAGACATGTTCAGCGTCTTTCCTGAACATGAAGCTCACTGTTTGGGCTAGCCAGGCTGGCCAGTGAGCCCCAGGTATCTCTGTCTGTCACCAGAACTGGAGCTCTATTCGTATCATTCCAGCCAATTTGTAAGTCGGTGCTGGGTGTTCAGACTCAGGTCTTCAACATCTCCTGCTGGTGTTGTAAGCTTTCCTGATTGGGCCTTCTCCACGGCTCGGCCCTGAGCTGTGCATTGTGTGAGCCAAGTGGGTCCCAGGCCTCGGAGGAGTTGTCGTGCGGAGGGGAGTGGGTGGTGGGGGCAAGGAGGGCTGTCTCTAACCTCAGAGTCTCCAGCTCCTGGTTCAGCCTCATGACCTCATCTGCAATGACACAAGCAGAAGGCTGGTCAGCATACTGCCTCCCTGTGAGCAGTCAGCAGGGAGAGGCAGCGAGGGCTGAGCACCGCAAGGGAACACCTGGGAGATACCTAACCACCAAGGCCACTGTGGCAGCATGGTCAGGCAGAGGGGGTGGGGGTAGGGTAAGAGACGAAGGCATCAAAGGAAGGCGGGCCTAAGGCCCTTCTACCAGGCTGTAGAAGAGCCAGCTTAGAGATCACTGGGGGACTCACCAGCTCTGTAGCCTACACCCTCCCGTCAAGGTTCTTCCTACCCACCCACTGCCCTCTGCTGACATAAATCACTTCCACTTCTGAATCTTTATTCCTTCATCTCTGGCATTGTTTGTCTCAAGGAAGAAACCAAATTCCGAAGCAGCTGGCCCATGGCCCTGACACCCCTCCATGTGAGTCAGCAACTCTCTCCAAGTCCGGACCTGGAGGCCAGACCCATTCCCTCCCAGCTCCACCAGATCCCTTTCCCTGGCTCCTCCCATCCTCCCTTCCCCTCCCCCTGGGTCCTTCCACACTCCCACCCTTACCCTCTTCACCCCTTCTATCCCCTCCACTCCTCCACCCCACCCCTTCCCCTACCCTCTCCAATCCCCCACCCCACCCCTTCCCCTACCCTCTCCAATCCCCCACCCCACCCCTTCCCCTACCCTCTCCAATCCCCCACCCCACCCCTTCCCCTACCCTCTCCAATCCCCCACCCCACCCCTTCCCCTACCCTCTCCAATCCCCCACCCCACCCCTTCCCCTACCCTCTCCAATCCCCCACCCCACCCCTTCCCCTACCCTCTCCAATCCCCCACCCCACCCCTTCCCCTACCCTCTCCA